ACCGAGCCACTCCAATTACCTAATGATTGAGCCACTCCAGGAACCTACTGACGAAGCCACTCAAGCAACCTGTACCCACCAAGCCACTCCAAGCACCTACCCGTCGAGCCACTCCAAAAACCTACCAACTCAACCACTCCAAGCACCTATCGACCGAGCCACTCCAAGCACCTATCGACTGAGCCATTCCGGACACCTACCAACCAAGGCACTCCAAGGACCTACCTGCCAATCCACTCCAAGCACCTACCCACCGAGCCACTCCAAGCACCTACCCACCGGGCCACTCCAAGCACCTACCCACCGACCCACTCCAAGGAATTACCCACCGAGCCAACTTAAGCACCTACCCACCGAGCCACTCCAAGCACATACCCACCGGGCCTCTCCAAGCTCCTTCCCACCGAGCCAATGCAATCACCTACCAACTTAGCCACTCCAAGCACCTAATGACCCAACGACTGCAAGCACCTACCGACCGAGCGACACAAGCACCTACGGACCGACCCACTCCAAGCACCTACGGACCGAGCCACTCCAAGCACCTACCGACCGAGCCATTCCAAGCACATACACCCCAAGCCACTTCAAACACATATACCCCGAGCCACTCCAAGCACCAACACACCAGGCCACTTCAAACACCTACGCACCGAGCCACTCCAAGCACCTACCGACCGAGCCGCTCCAAGCACCTAACGATTAAGCCACTCCAGGCACCTACCGACCAAGCCACTCCAATAACCTCTACCCGCTAGGCTACACCAAGCACCTACTGACCGGGCCACTTCAAGCACCTTCCCACCGAGGCACTCCAAGCACCTACGGAGGAAGCTTATCCAACCACCTACCCGTTGAGAGACTCCAAACACATACCAACTGAACCACTCCAAGCATGTACCGACCGAGCCACGTCAAGCACCTTAAGCCACTCCAAGCACCTATCGACCAAGCCGATCCAAGCACCTACACCCCAAGCCACTCCAAGCACCTACACCCCGAGCCACTCCAAGCACCTACACCCCGAGGCACTCCAAGCAGCTACACACCGAGCCACTCCAAGCACCTACGCACCAAGCCACTCCAAGCACCTACTGACCGAACCACTCCAAGCACCTAATGATTGACCCACTCCAGGCACCTACTCGTCGAGCCACTCCAAGCACCTACTTGTCGAGCCACTCCAGCAACCTGTACCCACCAAGCCACTCCAAGCACCTTCTCGTCGAGCCACTCCAAACACCTACCGACTCAACTACTCCAAGCACCTATCGACCGAGCCACGACAATCACCTACCGACCGAGCCACGTCAAGCACCTTAGGCCACTCCAAGCACCTATCGACCGAGCCAATCCAAGCACCTATCGACTGAGCCATTCCAAGCACCTACC